TTTCTGAAGAAGGGTCTAGGCCCGAAACATCAGCCTTCCTACTCCTCTGATGCTGCTTGGCCTGCTGTATTCATCCAGCTCTGCACCTTGTTATCTCAGTTTGCAGGTTCATTTGTGTGTCAAGCTCTGGGCGTCAAATTTGGTGCACTGAAGATTATCCAAATTGCCTTCAGCAATGTTGATAACTGATTATGAGTTTGGCCTTAATTGCAGCACTTTGAATAGTTCATATGCCATGCTGTGGAATTGTCTCCATAATTTTTTGTTGTATAAGAGATGGCAGCAGTTATCCAATAAGCTACCACACCTACTGAAGTTGACCCTGCTATTGCAAGTTTTGCACTTATTGACCTTGGTGATGGTAGTGCCTTCTATTTCAGAGGCAGGCACAACAGAAGCCAACTCTCCCTCAGTATTGTCTGAGCTGGAATGCTGACCTCACTGTAACCCCTAACATCCCACTGCAGTACCTCCAGGTAAAAGTGAGACACCTATGGAGTAGATTCCTGGGGCTCTTCTCCATTCTTCTAGTTGCTGCAGTCTCAAAGAAATATGCAAGTGAGACCTTGCAACCAAGGATAGAGTTCCTTTAATTAGAAATCTTTCCTTTGACAGACCCATCATGCCCCCTTACCCACATTTCCTGAAGTACCAAGGTCATGGCACAGTTAAAAAGCTTTGCCAAATATGCTCGTCAACATTCAGGTTCCCCACGTTCATATGGTCTTGTCATTTGGCCAAATATTTAGTTGGGAAATTTCAAGAAAAGATGCAAGCAACTGAGGCAAGCTGACATTTGAATGAGTACTGATTAAAGTCAGGCTCCCTAAATCAGAGAACATTCAGTCAGTCCTGATTTTAACTTGATAAATATATTTAAATTGGTACTTAATTATGTAAAAGTACTTGATTTTAACAGGCACCATCCTTATCTGAAATGCAAAGCCACATTAAGTATAATATTGGATCTACAATGATTATTGCGCACTGTTTTGTCCTACAGAAAGAGTGGATGAGTGTGAATGGCTGCAGAAAGGAAAATGCAGACACATGGGGCTTCATCTGGTAGGGTATTTGCTCAGAGGGAGATGACACAAGCAGGATGAGAAGCTATTGGATTGGAGGCAAGTGTGTGAAATAGGAGGCTAAGAGGAAATCCTGAAAGAAAGCCTGGTGATTGTGTAAGAACTATTAAGTGAAGTAGATGGTGTTATTAGAGATAACAAGGTGTAGAGATGGATGAACACAGCAGGCCAAGCAGCATCATAGGAGCAGGAAGGCTGACGTTTCGGGCCTAGACCCTTCATCAGAAGGTGATGCTGCTTGATGCTATGATGCTGCTTGGCCTGCTGTGTTCATCCACCTCTACACCTTGTTATCTCAGATTCTCCAGCATTTGCAATTCCTACTATCTCTGGATGGTGTTATTAGATTATGTGACAAGATTAAGGAATAAATGAGATGGCGTTGAAAATGAACATGTAAGTGTGACTTCGAGTTTCATGGTGAAGATGATGGAGGTAAGAGAACTGTTGAGAAAGCTGGGAAGGATGGTAATTGAGATGGTTGCCATATGTTTACTGGACAGAAAACTTAAGAACAAAACTTACTTTTGCTGCTGTATTCAGATCAGTGAAGCTCATCCTGCACTGTGTCCAAGTCCTGCACAAATAGAGCTGACAATTTTTGGAATATCCATCCCTGGTGAACAATGTATTTAGCAACTATCTGACCCTGTCAGGAAACAGGAGCCACCTCCACTCCTAATAAATTGAGGGAGACATTTAAAGTTTTTGAGAAAATTTGTAGCTCGGGGTGTGGATGAGGTTGTAGACATGCTCGCCGAGCCGGTGGGTTTGGTTGCAAACGTTTCATCACCCTGGTAGGTAACATGGTCAGTGTGCCTCTGGTGAAGCATTGGTGTTCTGTCCCACTTATTATTTATATGCCTCAGTTTGTCGGGGTGTTTGGTACTGCTTCCAGTTCTGTTTTTCAGTGGTTTGTACACAGGGTCTAATTCAATGTGTTTGTTGATGGAGTTCCGGTTGGAATACCAGGCCTCCAGGAATTCCCTGGTGTGTTTCTGTTTGGCTTGTGTGAATATGGACATGTTGTCCCAGTCGAATTCATGTCCCTCTTTGTCTGTGTGAAGTGAGACAAGTGAGAATTGGTCATGTCTCTCGGTGGCTAGTTGGTGTTCGTGTATCTGTATTGTTGGTTTTCTTCCAGTTTGGCCAATGGAGTGTTTCGCACAGTCTTTGCATGGTATCTTGTATTTTACACTGGTTTTGCTGATTTTGAGTATGAGATCCTTTATGTTCATCAGTAGCTGTTGTAGGGTGCTTGTTGGTTTGTGGGCTACTCTGATACCTAGGGATCTGTGTAGTCTTGTGATCATCTCTAAAATGTCTTTGATGTACAGTAGGGTGATTATTGAGTCTGGTCGTGTTGTGTCTTCCTGTTGTGATCTGTCTCAGAGGTAACGGCAGATTGTGCTTTTTGGGTATCCATTTCTTTTGAAGACTCTGTATTGGTGCTGCTGTTCTGCTTTGTGTAGTTCCAGGTTGCTGCAATGTGTTGTGGCTTGTTTAAATAATGTCCTGATGCAGCTCTGTTTGTGGGCGCTGGGGTATTTGCCAGTGTAAGTGAGTATCTGGTCCATATGTGAGGTCTTTCTATGTATGCTAGTCTGGAGTTCCCTGTTGTTTTTACTTTCTACCGTTAGGTCCAGGAAGAGTAGTCGGTTGTTGCTCTTTTCTTCTTTTGTGAATTTTATCCAGGTGAGGATGTTGTTTATATGTCGGTGGGTTTCTTCTAATTTTGTACATTTGATCATTATAAAAGTGTCATCTACATATTGGACCCAAAATTTGGGTTGTACAGTGGGGAGCGCTGTCTGTTCTAACCTTTGCATTAATACTTCTGCAATCAATCCTGATATTGGGGATTCCATTGGTGATCCGTTGATTTGTTTGTATATGCCGTTGTTGAAGGTGAAGTGGGTTGTGAGGCACAAGTCTAGTAGTTTTGTGATGGTGTCCTTATTGATGTTGTTGTCCTGGGAGACATTAGAGAACAATGGAGCTTGCCTATCACTCATTTTGTAGATAGTTCTTCTCCCAACACTTCAGAAACGAAAGAATGGAATATCTCTTTTAAGCAGTACATTCCTGTTTTAATTAGATGTCTGACAGGCCCACCATTAAGATTCAGGTCAAGTATTTCAGCTGGATACTTAATAGCGAGGTTATTACAAAACCCAGCATGAGGTTGTTGACTCGCTCAGCAAGCTGGCTTGTTTTTGTTCAGAAGTTTCATCACCATGCTAGGTGACATCATCAGTGGAGCCTCCCATGAAGTGATGTTATTATACTCCTCTTGGAGTTTATATTGTCCAGTCTGTTATGGTGAGTACTGTCATTTCCGGTTTTGATCTGTATGGGTTTGTATATGGGGTCCAATTCTATATGTTTGTTGATTGAAGTATGGGTGGTGAACCATGCATCTAGGAATTCCCATGTGTGTCTATGTTTGGCTTGGGCTACTATGGTTACTTTTTCCCAGTTAAATTGATGGCCTTCATTGTCTGAATGTACAGATATTAAGGAGAGTTCATCATACCGTTTTACTACCAGCTGATGTTCATGTATTCTGATGGCTAGTTTCCTTCCTGTCTGTCCAATGTAATGTTTGTGGCAGTCGTTGCATGGTATTTTGTAAACTATGTTTGTTCTGTGTGTTGTGGGAATGGGATCTTTAATCCTTGTAAGTGTTAGTCATAGAGTAGCTATGGGCTTGTGGGCCACCATGATTCCTAGTGGTCTTAGGAATCTTGTTGTTAGTTCTGATACGTTCTTGATGTAGGGCAGTGTGGTCAGTGTGTTAGGTCGTACTGTATCCTCCTGTTGTTGTCTGTTTTGTAGGCATCTGTGGATGAAATTGCAGGGATATCCGTTTAAAGCGAGGATCTTATATAAGTGTTCTTCCTCTTCCTGGCATAATACTGGAGTGTTGCAGACTGTCCTGGCCCATTTAAATAGTGTCCTAAAGCAGCTTTGTTGTGGATGTTGGGATGGTTGCTGTGGAAGTTGAGGATTTGATCTGTATGGGTTGCTTTTCTGTATACTGAGTTTTGGAACTCCCCATTTGTCAATCGTTCTACCTGAACGTCCAGAATCGGAAGTTGATTGTTGTTTTCTTCTTCCCTTGTGAATTTAATCCCTGTGAATATGCTGTTGATGAGGTGGTGGGTCTCTTCTAATTTATCTCTTCTAATTAGAAGATACCACCACCTCATCAACAACGTATGAGAGTGATCAAGTTTGCAGATACCCTTGATTTCCAGTCAATAGTTTCCCCAAGTTTATTCATCAGCTGTGTTTTGTTGCAATTAAGGGAGACAGAAGGATAGAGTAGCATTCCCATACGTTTTGCTGTATTCAGTCCATTTTGCTTTACCCCCTTTGTTGCTCAAGGAAAACTACTGAAATTTGGTTCTTTTGTATATTTCAAGTCTAGCCCCATTGTTTTTTCTAACCTGAACATTCCACAGGTAACCTTCCACCTCCAATATGTGAAACTTTTGTGCAAGTGTAATGAAAACAAGGTATGCATATTTTGTGACCACTGAGTTAAAGTGGCTCTTGATTAAAACTGTAATTCTGAGGCAGCCAGTTTTGTATATTTCATGCAGGGTGCCTGGTCATGTCAGGTGAACACAGCAGCCACTTTAAGTCAGCAATTGGTCCATGAAAGTTTCAGGTATTAATGTCAAATGATGAAAGTTAAATATTCATAGCCCATTTTCACTTGATCATAATTACTGTAATAAAAAGTATCTAAATTTTATGAATTACTTGTCTTGTATTTTTAAAGTGTAGAAAGCTTTAGTAAACAGTAGAAGTTTAATAGCAACATTTATTGATTTCATAATCTTTCATATATCCATTTCCTTTCTTTTAGGATGGACAAACCCCAGATGAATTATGTAATCAATCCACATCTAAAGAAATTGAAAATAAAGCCATTAAAGAGATAGACAATGAAAATATGAGAAAAAGTGAGGGGGCAGCTAAAACAAATGGAAAACATGAAAGAAAAGAAAAAGATGAGGATAGTGCAAAGATAAAAGACATCAAGGATAAAGGAAAAGAGGAAAGACTGAAGAGTGAAGAGGTAAGAGGAAAAAATAAAGAGGAGAAAGAGAAGAGCAGAGACCTAAAAGGAAAAAGTAAAGAAGAAAAACTGACTAAACCCAAAGAAGAAGCATCAAAGGAAATTGTCAAAGAGGAAAAATATTCTAAGACAAGGAGTGAGTCAAAAGACTTTAAGAATGATGAAAACTGCTCCGGCTCTTCTGTGACAAACTCTAGCAAATGCTGTTCAACACAATGTAATGATTCATTCAGTGCACAAAACCTTGAGGAGAAAAAACAACCAAAAGCTTCAGAAACACAAACAACAACTTCGACCATTTATGATGAAACAATAGAAAAAGTAAGGGGCAATGATTCTGAAATAATTGAAGTGAATTTAAATAATGCAGAGAGAATGAACAATGATATTTTAATACGTTTTGCTGATGCATTGAAAGAAAACACTGTTGTGAAGACCTTTAGCTTTGCCAATACTCATGCAGACGACCATGTTGCTTTTGCTGTTGCTGGTATGTTAAGGACAAACAAGAGCATAACAAACCTCAACTTGGAATCCAACTACATCTCTGGCAAAGGTGTAATTGCTATCATGAGAGCTTTGCAGCAGAATAACGTACTGACAGAGTTCAGATTCCACAATCAGCGTCACATATTTGGAGGGCAAGTCGAGATGGATATTGCCAAACTTTTAAAAGAAAATATCACCCTTCTTAAGCTGGGCTACCATTTTGAGTTGGCAGGGCCACGTATGACTGTGACAAACTTACTAAGTAGGAACATGGATAAACAAAGGCAAAAGCGTTTACAGGAGCAAAGACAGGGGCAAACAGGGGACAAAAAGCAAGCACTTGAAGTCCCAAAGACATCTGGCATGCAAAAATCACCTAAATCATCTCCACAATCTTCTCCCAGAAGTTCACCTTGGTCATCCCCTAAACCAACTCCAAAGAAGACTGCTACTCATGCACCACCACCTGCTCCTCCTCCTCCTCCAGTCCTGCCAGAAAAAGCCAACTTTATGACTCAGAATCATAAATTACAAAGCAAGAGGACTGGAGAGGAACATGAAGAGACCAAGAAGTTAAGAAATTCCTTGACACCTGTATCTGAAAGAAAGTTGGAAGACAGGCCACCCGCTCAAGAACAGAATTCAAGAGATCAGCTTCTGGCTGCCATTCGAAGGAGCAATAAGAAAAATTTAAGGAAGGTACATGATTAATGTTTCTATATTTTCTATTGATAGATCTGGCATTGGCATTTCTTGGAAACAGTGCAAAATGATAAATACATTCTCTGGATAATGCATACAAATATGGAAGCTGAAAGGTCAATCTTTCATCCATCAGAGTGCAATAAGTTGAAATTTTATAAACTAAGAGGTAAATGTTTATGGTATAAAATAGCTTCTCAGAGGTGGCTGAAAGCAAATGTAATCTGAAATGTTACTTTGTAGAAGTGAAGTATTTGTAAACACATTGAAGAACAAGACTACAGAACAAATGTAATGCCATATTTTTGTGGAGTCATAACATTTCTAAAAGTTAATTCAAGATGTTTATAACATAAATGGTTCTATGAAGAAAATAACATTGGCATTTTTATAACACTGCAGAATACAAAATGTGGGACTCACAGGCACTGAGTATATAAACATCCAAGGGGATTAGAAAGAGAAAGGTCAGTGAGGAGGATGGTTTTAAAACAGGGAAGGATATTTCAAGAAAGAGGAGCTAATTGAGCAGCCATTATATGTACAGCAGGTGGAAATGAGGCAAAATGAAGTTACAGAATTGGAATCTCCATGCAGAGTAAAGCAGAGTAAATCGTAACAGTTTGTAATAAAGCCATGAAAAGGTTTGTAAAGGAAGGTGAGAGTTTTAAAGCTGAGCTTGAGATGAAGCAGGATATTAATCTTCTACATTGTGTGAGAATTTGAAATGGCAACAAGTAAAGCTGATTGAATCAAGGATGGAGGCTTGGAATTGTTGACAGGAGCAAAATAGGATAGTGTAGTTTAACTGACATTTTGATGGAAGTCAGTATGAATAGTCCAAACCTTGATATCAGATAAGAAATTTTGGGGCATAAAAAGCTACATTTACACAGTTCTTCTGATTGACAAACAATTGGATCTATTGATGATCATTTGGCATTCATAACAGAGTATTACAAAGCATAGTTGTTCTTTAATTTTTTACGTATAAGTAACTTTCCATTTTGACTTATGATTTGATATAAGTCTCTTTGAATATTTCTTCAAGTTTAATACGTTCCAATACATTTTGTTCTTTTTCTTAAGGAAAAAAAACCTTCAGATTTGCCATTAGCTATACAGCAATGACAACAGTGTATTTCTGAAGCGATTTAAACTGATTGTACTCGAAATGATAATAACACAATTGTTTAAAGATAGAATCATTAGAATATTTTAAACATTTGTAATAATAGCTTTGTCAATTATGTTATAACATAAAAATAATAAAAACATCCTGTTACATAGCACCCTTAATGTAGAAAGCCTTCTGAGGACATTTCACAAAAGTGAAATCATAAAACAACGAACAGAAGTCAATGAATGAGATATTAGGAGGGATGATGAAAAGCTTGGACTAAATGATTGTTTGAAGATCACTGTGAAAGAATCAGAGGGATGTAAGGAGACAGAAAGATTTACGAAAAGTTGCTGAGGGTAAGGACTAGATGGCTGAAGGTCTCTAAAGATAGGAAGGAAGAGTCTGGAAATCACATGACACTAGAATCAGAGAAACACAGAGTTAACCAATGGTGGTTATAGACTAAAGAAAATACAATGAGATGTGGTTGTGATAAAGCCAATTTAGCTTAGCCAGGTAAGCATTGCATTAGTTAAATCTGAGTTGGCGAAAACATGGAACGGAATTATTACAGAAGAAAAGCAGAAGCAGAGGTGAAAGAGGGCAATGTTACAAAGGTATAAATTTGTGATGGACCTGAAGTTCATCTCAGACTCAAACAGAATGCTAAGAATGTGGAGAATCTGGTTCAACCTAAGACAGTGATAAAGAATGAAATTAATAGCTTTGATTTTTCCAATGATTAACTAGTGATTTTTTGTGTAGATTTAATGTTGGATAAACAGTGTAACAATTGGAGGAGAGTAATTTTGAAGACAGAAGTGGTGAAAAGATTGAACTGAGTATTAACAGAGTATACATTGAAATTGATCCCTTGTCTTTAAATAACATTGCTAAAGAGCAGGGTGCTAAAAAGAAATAGGCAGGCATCAAGGAAGGAGAGGTCTAGGGAACAATTGAGCTAACACGATGAGAGCAGGAGGAGCAACCAGATGCTCTGGCAAATATTGCTTAGTAAAAATGAAACCAAGCAAGGGCATTACTATTGAATTTAACAACAGAAGAGAGTTATTACTTCAGTTATAAGCCAGCTACATGCTTGAAGAGTTAAGTAATTTTGAGATAACATGGTGTAGAGCTGGATGAGCACAGCAGGCCAAGCAGAATCAGAGGAGCAGGAAAGCTGACGTTTTGGATCTGGACCCTTCTTCAGAAAGGTCCAGATGTTTCCTGGCCTGCTGTGTTCATCCAGCTCCACACCT